AACTGCAGCACCTGTACTTCTCGGCATGTGTGCATACAAAGGCCAATACCATACTTGAGAAAGCCTGGGGTGGCAGAAGACACTTTTGGTGAGTCCACTCCTCTTCTAGGAAGACCTGAGAACTAAGCCTGAACCTAGAGCCAACAAGAGCACCCACTGTGGTTGATCAGTGCTCAAAATGTTGCCACGCACATAGGCCTCCCTACCATTTTCATATTCCATATACAGCATCATGGAAATTGGTAGGAATTAACATAGCCAGGCCAGACCAGGGATCTTTTTAAGAAGGGGAGGGTCCTGCCAGGATACTGAGACCACGGCAGATGCCTGATTATGCCAAATACTAGCACTAACCTCGTGAAAAGACTAGGTAAACAAGGTGGGAATGAGGGATTAAAGCCTGCTAATGCAATGGCTTGAGTAATTAATCATCATCATCATCATCATCATCACTTTATTTCTTAATTAGAGAAGGGTTTTTTTAAAAGGAGAACAGTAATAACACGAGGATACTTTTTATGACCATGGACAGCTAATTAAAGCAGATCTTGGAATATTATTCTTTTTTTAATGTATCAGACATTGCTTTTTTAAAGGGACAAATTAATAATGTTTACACGTTTACAAATGCATTGATAAACATTGGCTTTTTTATTAACTGAACTCTTTTTAAAAAGTAGAACAGAACAAATGCACTATTTTGGAAGTAACACATAAACAGTACTAAAGAATGGAAACAATAGAACTATAAACATTAGAACACAATAAATAAATGTCATTACCATGCAAAAGACACAGCTTATGGGTGATATTGATATAGCTACCATGTTGGTTTCAAGCTCTAGAACTAAGATACTGTGCTGTGATAAAAAGGAAGAGGCTGGGCTAGTTCCTTCCATTTTGCTATACCACCCCAACCCGGATTCTTGCAAAACGCCCTCCCCTAATTATTCCTAGCATATTGTTTCTAATCCCCAGGCATATGTTGAAAGACTGGGCAGAAGAAGGGGCTCATCTACCATGCAGATCACAAAAGAATTTATGACAAAGCCAGAAAAGGCAGGATAAGATGTGCGAAAAGCTGAGGGCACACGTGCAAGCATTATACATATACAAGACCACACAGAAAGATGAAAAACTTCTGTGTGTGTGCACACACAAACAGAAGCCTCTATGTGTGCACGTGAGTCAAAGAGCTGTCACTAATATATTCAGTGCAACTGCCGGAAGCCCTTTGGGAAATATCCCCCATTGCTGAATGCAAGACAGGTAACTCAGCTTCAGAAATTGGCTGCAGACGCCCACACATTCCTCAGCTAAATAATAATCATTAATTTAAGGGGGGAGGGGGAACACTATGTACACGAGCTTAGAAAGAGCCACCCACACATTGTAGGAATGGATGGAAAGGAAATGCATGTAAAATAAAACAAAAAAATTCTCAACGACCTGCTGCCTCTCTTTCTGCTTGCAACCCTTGGGCAGTCTGTATATAAAGCACTGTTGCCTTGCCAGTCTCTAGGAAATTGGGAGGTCTGAATGTCAGGGACACACTTGCTGGCTTGCAAATGGCTGAAATATCTGTAGGAATCTGTGTCCCACATGACCAGGCATAGAAGGGAATTCTTTCTGTCACATCAGAGGTTCTGGGTGGACAGAACAACAGGCTTTCTCCACGCACACACACACACCCCTGGGCTTTGTTGCTGGTGAGATTTCTACTGTAAGGTTGTGCCTCTATGCATGGAGATGTTGATTTAGATTTGGTTGAAGAGCTCTTTGCTCAGAGGCATTTTGTGTTACAATTTCAGGAGATGGCATTCTTTATAATAACGTAACACTGGCTCCTGGCAAGTGCCACAGGCTCACATAAGCAAAGGCCCTGTCACAGATTGTGCACACACATCCGACCACAGCACAAATGTATTTGGCAAAAGGCTATACACCTCCAGCTGGTGTTAATAAGTACAGTGCCCATCCACTTAAAAAGGAGGGTTATTTACATCCATCAAGGAATCCAACTTTATTGGCTCTGAAGAAGTGATGCCAGTTTACACCAAACTGGGCTGATTGCATTAATTCCTCCAAAAATACTCCACCTGTGTGCTCTGTGCAACCTGTTCCACAGATGCAACTCCACTCCACCCGTCCACACCAAACAGGATTAGATTCTTAGAGAACTAACCGGATATACATGTGAGGTGAAAAGGTCACGTCATCCAGGTCAGCAAGTCTTTCAGCCAGCCGCTCCCAGGCACACATTCACTGAAACCCCAAAGAATCCAAACTAGACCAGCTGACTAGAGAAGTTCCTTTATTTTCCAGGTAGAAGTAGAAAACACAAACCTAAGAAGATACTTGTTTGAGAATCACCATACATCATGTATTTATCAGCACCAAAACACCTAGCTGATTTTAACCATTTGAAAAAGAATGCATATCAAACTGGACTTATAACTCCAGTGCAGCAGAGTGAACACAATGGAAAATATAGGCCCATCTTCCAAACAAGCAACTGAGTCTCATGTGACTGAACTCCTGCACTTGCTACAGCTTCCAACCCACAACATCATGCTTAGACCACTCACTGCAGGGACAGGCCTGCATCTATGATGCCATGTAAATACAGAGAAAAGTTGTGTAAGCTGTGTGGTTCTCCAGGGATGGACATCCAAAAATACTTAACAGATAAGTGGAAGTTCTCCCATCCTCTTGTTGTACCTTCTATTGTACTTACTGGGGTGCATCTACATTGTAGAATTAATGCAATTTGACACCATTTTAACTGCCATGGCTCAATGTTATGGAATCATGGGAGTTGTAGTTGCACAGGTTTTTTACGTTTTTTACGTTTCACTGCCAAAGATTGCTGGTGCTTCACCAAATTACAGATCGCAGGATTCTATAACATTGAGCCATGACAGTTAAAGTGTCATATTGCATTAAATCTACAATGCAGATACACTGTGGGTTTCCAGATATGAAAAGTATGAAATTATTACTTGTATTTCAGTTGCATCAACACTATCCTTCTAGTTGGGTTTCATTATGACCATACAATATTGCTAAGAGAACATCATGCAAATAAAGGGGGAGAGAACAGAGAACTACAGATGATTTCACAAAAGTTACAGAAATGTTTTGGTGTGTAACCAGTTTCAAAGTGATATTTTGGCCCTCTACTCTGTTCAACCCACAGCACCAACAAGCACAAAGCCTGGTTGGTTCTCACCCAGAATAGCAAGGAATTCAGTGGTGCAATTAATGTGGTACACACTGAGCTCCACTAACTGCTACAATGCAGGTCTGGATTCTTACCCCACCCCAGAAGATCCTCCAGGCAAGTAAGGAGAGTCATACAACTAAACTCTTCTCTCTCTTACCAATTTTGTAAACTTGCCCAATGGCATACAAATGCTAAGGTGCTAAGAATATGGAGTAAGGCCACAAACCCTAGCCAAAACCCCTTACTATATTTAAATACAGCAAAGAAAGAAAATTTCACTTTCATTTGAAATAAGATGAAACTTCCTGATTCAAATCAAAGGCCTTGTTTAGCCCTGCAGCCAATCTTCTGAAGAGACTAAAAGTAGATTAAGCCCTCAAGCAAGGTTCAGGGACAAGAGCACCTTGCTCCTTATGCCCTACAGTATTAGCCTTTCAGGACCATATTGCTTTCAGTTCAGTTTCAGTTTACAGTTTCACATGAAGTAGCCACTGGTAATTATGTCCAAAAACCATAAATTGAAAATTCACTTGGAACTGAGGATTTTCTGAACATCTCCTAGAAATTATACCCATAAGTTAAAATACTAAAATTTTAACTTGCTTTCTGTTCAGGAAAATTAATATTGTTGATATTTTCTTAACTATGTCCACAGCATTTTTCTACAAAACAGAGTACTACCACAACCAATCCCAACACATCTGAAATAAGAAAAGAAAAGCTATCAGGCTTTGGCTACGGGGACCACAGCTTCACTTGGTTGTCAATGAGTTGGAAGGAGGACCCAAAAGCTCTGGTTCCGCCGTCTCCCTAATCCCAACTGTCAGGCCATGCTTCCTTTCCAGTACTGTGGATACAACCCAAAGTCATTTGTGTTCCAAAGAAAGGAGAAGGTTTTGGAGAAATCTAGAACTGTTTCCTGTTGTAGACAAGATGTGAAAGCTTCCATAGCCTCCCTCCCCTTTTGAAATTCTGTCTCCTCACAATGCTTTCCCAAATATATTTAAACTACAGTATTACTGGTGCCCTATTGCACCCATACTCCCTTAACCACAGCCACATGCTGTGAGACAGTCCTCTCAGAAACATGTTGATTCTGAGAGGATGGAGGGCCAGTCAAAGATGAGGAACAGGGCTAGAAGGAAAGCCAGACAAAATGGGAAAGTGGGTTTCAGAACAGAATGAATCTCTTTTAATAGTGCCGAGGCATCCAGTTCTGCTTTTCTTCCTCTCCCTTGTGCTAAAATGAGAGAATTTCATGAAACCAGGCCAACCACATCTTGCTATTACCAACTCTTCCTTTGAAATGACCTCTTGCACTGTGGCGCTCCTAAAGAAATGTGGTTTGACATCTCTAAGTTCCCTCACCTTTGCCAAGCCAGCCCTGTGAGAAGACATGTATGGATGGCAACTGTAGCAGAAGAGCGCAAACCTTATCACGGGACATTCGTGAGCAGGGGAAAGCCTTCACATACCCCACATTCATGGAGAAGGAGGACCAGAATGATTATAAACAGGTTCTTTATCTGATCATCCACTCCCCTTTCCATCTGTTCCTCTTTCATCCATATTTTTCTTTCCCTCCCTCCCTAGATCCATGTCTATATTGGCTAACCATTTTTGTTTCCTTTTTGCATGTCCCCCCACCTTCCTCACAGCCCCCTTCCTTGCCCTATAGCAACTGCCAAAAACAAAACAAAAAAAGGGGGGGGAGTGAAAACCATTTCTACAAACATGCAGCCAGTTTATTTGCCAGCTGGGAAAAGGAGCTCACGGCATCCAGCCTTGCCAGACTGCTCCATCCCACACCCCTTTGGAGAAGATGAAATCCCACAGATTTGCAGCAATCATCCATCTCATTTGGGATCGGCTCTTGGAAGGATGGCTGACTTCAGACCAAAAGGGCCCAGCGATCCTCTCCCATCTTAAAAAAAACAGTGAGGATACCAAGAGCAGAAGGTGGGTTGGAGAGGAAGGAAAAGAAACACACTATTTTAAGGATAGCCATTTTTAAAACATCTCTCTCTTCTGACAGGCCTACCCAGTCAATTTTAACCTATGAATGGAAGCTTACGTTTTATTCATAGGAATGGTTTCAGGGTGTTTTCATATCATGCCTGTTTTTTACATGTGTGTTCCGGAGGGCTTGTGATTTAGCGATGTATTTTATCTGTGCTGTATCCCTCCTTGAGAAGAGGCAGGTATGGCTGGGACCTGTATGCCCAGCCATACATGTCTCCTCACAATTTCTTCTTCCCTTCCCTCTACCAGCCTCCCACAGGGGCCATGAGCCTCAGGAGTCGCTCTACACGGCACCCAAAAGGCGCGTATTCACACGCACGTACACTCGGGGAAGGAGGAAGGGAGAAGAGCCTTCCTAGGGATCGCAGACGGAGGGTGATCACGGCGCCTCCATTTCAAGGCGTCTCTCGGCCTCATTTCCTAGGGGGGGGGGGGGTTGTCTTAAATTCATCCCCACCCAAAAGGCCCCGGCCTGAGGTGAAATAAGGGGCATCTCTGCCAGAACCGAGAGAGAGTGGGGGGGGGGGGGGGGGGTTGTCTTAAATTCATCCCCACCCAAAAGGCCCCGGCCTGAGGTGAAATAAGGGGCATCTCTGCCAGAACCGAGAGAGAGTGGGGGGGGGGGGAGCGAGCGAGCGAGCAAGCGAGCGGGGGGACGATCACGGAACAGCCTCATCTCACCAGCGTGTGTCCCGTCCCCCCACCCCACCCCGCCACCGCCACCGCCACCGCCACCGCCACCCGCGCGCTCCCTCTCCCTCCTGATTAGCCATTCCGGCTGCATCCTCCTCCTCCCGCCGTGCAATTGTACGCGCGGGGAGGGAAGGAGGGAGGGAGGGAGGGGGCGATATTTGCGCGCGCGCGCTTCTCTCTGTGTGTGTGTGTGTGTGTGTGTGTGCCCGCCACCACCTTCTCCTCCTCCTCCTCTTCCTCCTCCTCCTCTCAGGCCTGCCTGTTACATAAAAAAACACGTATCAAGGAAATTGGAATGGGGGAGCATCATGACAGGAGACGGGGAAGGGGCCGCCACTGCGATCTTGTGGCGGTTCCGGCTTTTTTTTTTTCCTGCAGCAAAATCCACCCAGAGGTTTTGAGGGAGGGAGAGAGGGGGAGGGAGGGAGAGGCAAAGCTCAGCTCGGAGATCTTCAGAAACAGCCCTCCCCCTTTGTGCAGTACGGTATTCGGAGGGCAATTCCTCCCCCTCAACCAAAAACACACACACACACACACAGATAAAAAATCTGAAAATACCGCAGTAACGGCGGCGAGGGGCAGGGTGTGTGTGTGTATATACACACACACACACACCACCCCCCATATATGTGGTGTATATACACCGTGTGTGTGTGTGTGTGGCTTTGTCTTGGGCTCACGCAGAGACAGAACCTGAAAACGGGGGGGAGGGGGAGAGAGGATGCTGAGACAGTCGACGAAAAGGGACCGTCATTTGCAAAGACGACGACGCCGGGAAACAAGGGGGGGGAGGGGGAGAGAGAAAGGGAAGGTAGGCAGCAGTCCCCTCCTCTCAGCGCCAGAGTCCAGTCAGCAACAGCAGTCCCCCCCCCTCCTCCCTTCAACCCAGCTCCCGTTCCCCGGTTTCAAGCCTGGGTGGCGCAAAGAGGGAGATGTGAAACACCGAGCCCGATGATACTCCAAGCAGAAGGGAAGGGAAGGGAAGGGGGGGGGGGGGGGAGAGAGAGAGACCGCAAGGAAAACTCGTGACAGCGGCAGGAAGAACAACAACTCTCCTCTGGCTGCTCTTCTCCAAAGCCTGCCGAGGTCCCTGGGGTCTGCCAGCGAGGCCCAAAGGGTCCACAGGGGAAGGCTGGCCAGCTCGTTCCCCTCCAAAGCCCCCCCCCCCTTCCTTCCTTCCTTCCCTCCCTCTCTCCCTCGGAAGCCCCGCGCGCGCGCTTCCCGGGCTTACCTTCGGCGGTCCAGCTCTGCCGGGCGCCTCCATCCAGGTCTGCCTAATCCATCCCGCAGCCCTTGGTGCCGCTGCCGGTGAGGCAGGGCAGGAGCCCCACGGGTCTCCGGAAACACGAGGCAGGCGGTCGGTCGGTCGGTGGGAGGCTGCGAGGCAGCGCGGTCTGGCTCTCCTTCCGATGGCTCCCCCTCCTTCCCTCCCTCCCTCCCTCCTTCCTGCCTCCCTCGGGGCGTCGGTTTCAGAGAAGCGTGGAGGGGGGAGCGCGAGAACACACACACTCTCCTTCCCTCTTCCTCTCTCTCACACACACAGACGCCGGGACCACGGACTCGAGTGGGAGGGAGGGAAAGAGGGAGAGAGCAGAGAAAGAGGCGCCCGCTGCAAGAAACCAGCCTCTGTCCCTATTTTTTTTTTCCTGGTCGTTGTTGTTGTTTGCTTGCAGCCGCCCCCTCCCAAAAGAGCAGAAGGGAGGAGGGAGAGGAGAAGGAGGGGAGGGGAGAGAGGAAGGGGCCAAATCAAAGCCTTCCTTCTTCCCCCGACAAGAAGATGTCACCGGCGGACGCCTCCCGCAGGCGAAGCGCCTCGCCTAGGGCTGAGAAAAGAAGGCTTAAAATACATCCATCCGTGGAAAGCGGCCCGGGCATTTTGGAGAGGCAGTGGCGGAGAGAGAGGAGGAAAGAGCCAGCCAGCCCCGCAAGCAGCCCCCTCCTTCCCTCCCTGGCACGCGGGCGGGATGGCGGTTGGGAGCGCGCGAGGCTGAAGGAAGAGAGGAAAGGAAGGAAGGAAGGAAAGGAGCGCGCGACTGAGCGCGAGAGGCAGGCAGGCAGGCAGGGGGTCGCGCACGCGCCCTGGAGGCGGCGGCGCGAGGACGGGGAGGGAAAGAGAGGAGGGAGGGAGGGGGTCTCCGTCTGCTTGCCCTGCTCTGCTCCCGCCCCGCACAGACAAGCACACGCGCCTCCCCCAGACCCAACACAGGCGGGGGAAAGAAAGAAGGGAGGGAGGGAGGAAAGCACGGGTGGGTGGAGGGAGGCCTGCGCGTTTTTCTACCTCCCCAACGGACCTCTAGGTCTCCCTATGGTCCAAGGTTTCCCTCTCCCAAAATAAAATTAAATCCCCCTCCGCCCCCTCGCTCCCTCCTTTCGCTCTTCTTCTTTCTAGCGGTGGGCGCCCCCTCTCGGCGGACCCGAGGCGGGGCAGTGGGTGAGAAGGCCAATGGGAAGAGGAGCTGGGCAGGGATGCTCAGGCGGCAGGGAGGGGGCCCCCGGGTGCCCTCGGCTGGACCCGGAGACTCGGAGCAGCGAGGCTTCCCGCGGCGGAGGCTGCTGCTTGTTTTGCCCGCCGGGGGACGGGAGGCAGCGCTGCCATTCAGGGCGAGAGGAGGCGGCGGCGGCGGGAGGGAAAACCCGGGGCGGATTCCGGGCGGGACGGGCACACCTGGGAGGCTGGCCTCCTACGAGGAGGAAAAGCCGGGGCGGAGTGGCCGGACGGGAAGGGGCCGAAGACGGCTGCTCGGCACAGAATAGTGGGCTGCGAAGGAGGCATCGAGGAGGGAAGGGGCCAAGTGGGCAAAGGCGCGCGCAAACCAGGGGGTGGGTGGGTGGGTGGGAGCAGGAAGGGGCTCGAGGGGGGAACTCCGCTCCAGGAGAAGGCGCAAACTGAACCCGAGATGTAGGGGGAGTGGGACGGGACTTGGCCCGCGAAACTAGGCCTCCGTCCGGGTTTTGAGGAGAGCAGGGGCAGGGGCTCCCCCAAGGAACGGGGAGCGTCTCGGCTGGACTTGGAGGGATGCTCTTGGCTGGCAAGGAAACCTGGCCTGGAATCGGCCGTACACTCCGAGGAGGCGGAGTCACGGGAGCGGGTGGCAGGCAGGCAGGCAGGCTACAAAGAAGGCTCATTCCAGGTTCAGGACTACCTCGCTACCTCTGAGGGTGCTTGCCATAGATGCAGGCGTAACGTCAGGAGAAAATGCCTCTCGAACATGGTCATATAGCCCGAAAAAACCTACAACAGCACCGTGTTTTCTGTTGGTCTTTGGCAACCCCTCCGATACCCCCTCGCAACGCCCCAGGGGTCCCGACCCCCAAGTTGAGAAACACAGGTGTAGTAGATGCATCCTGAGAGAGAAGAGTCTCCACCAAGCCCAGCCTTCATGGTTGCACACAAGGGCAGTCGGAAGGCAAGTCAACGTGCTCTTGGATTGGCCTTTTGCATATTGTGTCAGCAAACCAGAGACTCCCTCCAGGCCAAGATATGAAGAGGCTGCAGCCATGAGTGGTAGAGCAGCCCATGGCTTGCATGCAGAAGGCCTCAGAGCACAGCCCTTGGTATTGTTTTACTAGGAAGGAGCTGGTAAGCAGGAATGAGAAAGGCCTCTGCCAGAAAAAAAGGCTAGATTGGAGGCACCAAGAGTCAGGCATGATGTGAAGGTGCTTCTGGATGGACACAACCAATGCTCCTAGGTGCGGAAGTACATACGAGGAGTGGCGTAATCATATGCCCCTTTGTGATGGAGTATCCTGCTCCCTGGATACTGTGACACAAGCCCCAGCATCCACCAGCACTAGCTATTGTTATTCTTATATCCTGTCTTTTCTCCCAAATTGGGGCTCAACACCTCACTGCTGGCTAGGGCTGAAGTGGGATCCAGTCCAAGAATGGTTGAAGGACCACAAGCCTCCAGCCATACTATAGTGACCACATGCTATACTGAACGCACATGCTACAAAATACTTTGAAATCATCTAGATCATTGTGTATCACAAGAAATAAACAAGACCAGGAGGATTCATTGGATTCATGGGGGAACAGTTGTTTGTAACTCAAAATGTATTGAGCTGTGTCTGCCCCTCCAGGACTGGTTTTGCAGCTTTTGTGGATCATTTCCTGTTGAAGAAGAAAAAAGATTTCTCTTGAAACCTCTCCTAGGCTAAAAGCATGTCAAAATTGTCCCCACTCCCTTTAGGAGATTTTCAGTGGCATTTCGTTTTTTTGTTTTTTTTAATCAATGGTGTGTGTTGCCCTTCCAAGTTTTTTTTGGGGAGGGAGGGCACTAGGGGTTCTCAACCCACAACAGTTGCCAGCACTACTTTATAGTATTCAAATCATGTTGTGCCATCCTATAAGCAAAAGGTGCAGCATTTCAAAAATAAACATTGCAATAGACCTCAATTCTTATTGCGAAGTGCAACAAGAGAAGATGGAATGTGTGCAGTCATTACTGGAATGGCCTTGATTATTATTTTAATGTATATGTTGATTTTATTATTGTTTGTTTGATAAAGCATCAAATTGTTACTCCCCTTTAGGGTTGAGAAGGGCAGGGTACAAATATGTAAATAAAAAGTAAATAAATCCCCATAAGCTACACTCCCCACTCAGACAGATTGCCTCATTCTGAGTGCACAGCTCCCTTAGCCCAATCTTTCTCTGAAATAATCTGTTGAACTTTTTGTTGTTGCTGGGCTGCTGTCTCACACATTACTGAATCCAAGTGATTGCATGACAGGAGAATGTATGCAAAATGCTGGTGAATTGGCAGGTGATCTCAGGGCAACCCCTCTCCCTTATTAGCCAGAGTTAGTCAGAGTTGGAAGGAACTGCAATGGCCCTCCAATCAAGACTCCAGTCATCCAGGAATACATCTGGAGCAGAGGATTCTGGGTGGAGTGGAAGGGAAAGACAGCAGTTGCACGGCCCTTGACCTGCATCAGAGGAGAGGGCTCTGCCTTTCATATGGTCTGCTTATCAACCAAACTAGCCCGCTGCCCTCAGATGTGGTGAAAGATGCCAATCCATTGCCAGCTTTGAAGGAAGTGCTAATCGGCTTCTGGGTGGCTATATCTTAGCCTTCAACGTGGGCAGCAAAATGCCTTAGACTGGACCTAGGAAGCACTTTGAGGTAGTACAACCACAGGCACATCTATTTGGAAGAAAGACTAAAATGGGGTCAACTGGTATCAGGTATGGAGCACATTGCCTGCCAAGGCTGATTTTAAATCCTGTCATCCCAAGTGGCTTTAACATGATGGCTGAGGCTGTTGGAAACTGGAATTTATTATATCTTGGAGTATCCCTGGTTCTCCACCATCGGTAGGACTGGATAGGTCAGGATTTATTTTTTATTTTCTTTGTGGGGGTGAGGTAGAAGAAGACACATATAGGTAAGTTGTAAGTAATAAGATGCTCTGTAACTGGAGGATGGTGCAAAGGAGAATTATCCTTATGGGGCTGTTGTTGTTTACCTTCACATCACTTCTGAATGACTAAGGTGATTGTATCAAAGGATTTTCCTTCGGAAGGGTTTTACCTTCCCTTCTTTTGAGGCTGAGAGAGCGTGAGTTGCTCGTATTCACCAGTGAGTTTCCATTACCAAGTGGAGATCTGAACCCTGATTTCCAGCATCAAAATCTACTGCTGAAACTATCACACCATGCTGGTTCTGATAAGGAAATGTTATCCCCAATATCCATGTCCTTTGTTTGGGGCATTTTATGTTTCTAATCAGTGCTTTTGTGCTTTAGAAATCTGCAAAGAAGTGACATATGGTTGCAGAATCTGTTTTTTAGCCTGTGCTTTGTGCTAATAAAACGCATTTAATCAACCCACGTGCTCTTATCAGGAGATAAAGGGTTTTTTCAAAAAAATAAAAGCAATAATAGATCAGACAGCTCATCCCTCCAAAGGCTTTTCAAAACTGAAATGTTAGAACACATCCTCTGGATGGTTGCAATCCCATGCATCATTACTTGGGAGTAAATGTAATTGAATTCAGTGTGATTTACTTCTGAGTAAGAACACTCAAAATAGAAATGCAATTCCTTTTAATGAATCCATTGTTAGCCTTGTTGGTTCGTTCCCAACTAGAGAAAGACCAGTCCAGTTTTTATTTTCCACTTTCTGGAGGCCAAGGCTTTCCATCCCATTCCACGCATAGGATTCCACCCCAGTTTTGCCCCTAAACCAATCCCTTTTTTGTGTCATTTGGATTCACCTTTTCAAGCTTTTTCCCCCTGCTGTCACAAGGGTTAGAAATTCATTTTGTTTAAAAAAATGAATCTGAAATGCTCATATAATACACTTTGTCCTCCAAGGATCTAGGCTAAGTCGTGGTTATGTAGTTTTGGCGGATCAATTTCTCCATGCGAGTATTTCCCAGAATAAATATCAGGTTTGCCACACACCTATACAATACTGTAATGTGGAGAAGGATGTCAGGAGAAAGAGGCAAATTGCACAACAACTGCATTTGGGGTTACCTGTCTATAGAAGCTATACCAACACCATCAATACTTTGGATCATGAAAGGGCCACTGCGAGGAACACGCTTTCTCCTAAGACCTAGCCAACCATGAGTAGTAGGGAAGGAAATTCATATGTTGTTTCTGGAGCCTAGTAAGATCTTTGCTGAAGGAACCCTGCTGCTATTTGAAGGGGAAACAAGCAGTATTGACAGTTTAGCCTGATCAGCAGGCAAAGTGCATTGATGATTAAGGTCAATATGAGTAAATATGCCCCGACCTCTGAAGGGAGGAACTTTTTGGCAGCACTTACTGGCTACGTGGGTCCAGTCAGAACAGAACCTTTGATTCATCCATCAATAATCATAAGAAACCAGGCCAATCTCTTTTCTCAAAAGCACTCTGTGTCCCATCTCCCCAACACACACATTTGCTGGGAATAAAGGCTCAAGACCCCTGCAAAAGTGAAAAAAAAAATTAAAACTGTCTTCGTTATCTGAGAGAATTCCTCACTAGTCATTACTAGGTCTTCCAGCACATTGCTATGGTCAACTTTCACCACAGGTTGAGCAAAATAACTCTGGAGGACCTAGAAATGGTCAGATAG